CTTTCACATACACCGCAACACAGTGAATGCGCACGAGGGATGGTATCAGAACCTTCTCAAAAGATGTTCTTGGGAATCGTTATGAAAGTTGCCACCGAAGATGGCGCGTACGTTTAAGTGTCTTCAAGCAGTTAAACCGATGGAAGCTCGCCATCATATCGTAGTAGCAACAACTATCTGCAGACAGAATAGAGTAAGCACTCATCCATCTTTACCTCACGCCAAGCCTACAGGCTGGCAATAGAGAGCTGCTCACCTGTAACAATTAAGGCAAAACTCCACTGTACCACAACACATGCACCATAGCCAGGCTGGCTACGTTACATGCTAACAGTGACTGACAGTACAGTAATAGCATATAAATTATTACGAAATTAAGGCGCAGAAACCCTCTTAAACCAATTTAGCTTTTGAAATTTCACTGTGACATTGCTAGCCTCGTACATCCAGGCGTATGTATAGATTCTCTAAGCAAACCCCGGCAGTCAAATTCTTTCTAACAGACAGCTCAACAAATCCATGTTGTAACCCCCCTCTCCGTCTGAGCCGGTCAAAACGTTATCTGACCAATTATCTTCGGCATGTAGCAGAAGTAGATTTCAATGGTCCTTTCAATATGCAAAATGCATAGGGTCACCGCTGAAACAAAAAGTGTTTTCAATCGCTCCGTCGCATGTCCTCAGAAAATGTCTAAATCTAGCCCTGTTGCCATTGACCGTTTGACCTGACCCATCGCTATTTATTTTCCGGCACAGTGATGGCTTTTCCTCACCATGATGCCTAATACCCGACTATCACGAGCTAGGTCGAGCGTTTAGCATTTGTGCCGCAATTCTGCATTTCCCCCTATACCTTAATTAAGGAGTGCAAGTGTTCCCCTTCTTTTACACCTCTTGCCTTTCACCTTTGGACCCCGCTTCGACAGCCAACTCGTTCTTGACGATCCCCCCCAATGTAGCGAATATCGTGCACGTACGATCAAGCGGTTAAGATTGTTTACATGTTTATATGTGTAGTAACTCCTACACACAATAAAGATAACAACTACCATGTTTACATGTTTATATGTGTAGTAACTCCTACACACAATAACAATTACCATGTTTAGTATTGTTTACATGTTTACTGGTGCAGTAACTCCTACACACAATAACAATTACCATGTTTAGTATTGTTTACATGTTTACTGGTGCAGTAACTCCTACACACAATAACAATTACCATGTTTAGTATTGTTTACATGTTTACTGGAGCAGTAATGCGTGTGTAGCTGACGACGGCTGCATGCAGGCGTACCTGTATCTATGGTAATCTCCGTGTCTGAGTCCATGCTGCTGCTGTGCATCTCTCACTACGACCAATACTGCGATGACGGCCATTAAGGAATCTACGCCACACTACACACACTGTGCTTTACACCAAAGTACTAATCACACAGGAGACTATATCAAACACAGCTCACTGATGCCTGTGTGCTCGCACTGTGTGACTGTGAGCTTCTACAGAGCTCTACATCTGAGTGCAGCTGTAGCTGTGTAGAAGAAGTGCTGAGGAAAGCTACAGATATCATGGATAGTACTAGCCTATATGTATGCTAGTTTACCACTATGCATAATCTGTAAGTCCACAGAGTAACTAGTCGATACTTAGTTATATCTTATACCTACATAAATCAAAAGAATGTCCAACAATTTTCAGAGTGGCTATATGCCCGGCAGCCGGCATATATCTGACGGCTGCCGGGCACAGTCTTCGATTTCCTAAATGCCCGCCAGTTTTTAATTTGCAGCGTTATCTCAAGTAAACAAGGGTTAGGGTTAGGGTTAGGAACTGCCGGGCATTTAGGAAATCGAAAACCGTGCCCGGCTGCCAGGCATATAGCCACAGCGAACAATTTTACCTGTCTGCATAAACATAACACCTACAACTAACCTAACAGCTGAACAAGACGATATATGATATGATGATTGATGTGATAAATGGTGTATCAAATAATCAAACTTAATGTAACTAGGGTCATCCATAGCGCTAGTAAGTGTGTAACCAAGAAATTTAATACTAATACTAATAGTAATAGGTCATGTAACACTAACACTAACAGCTTAGCTACAGCAGGGTTAACCATTCTAAACCGAAAATCTTGATTTGAACCTAACCTGGATCGAACTTCTTCTGTGTAAAACCAAACCACGAGAAAATCAGACAATGTTGAGAATAAGTTAATCCTGTTTTGCATACACATACCTTCTCTACTGCATAAATTTATGTGACTATGTCTACAGAAGTATGCAGTGCCAGTGGCAATGCTGCAGGTTGAATTGAATGAGAAACGGATCACCGATCACAGCCATCTGGCTAGACTTAGTACGACCGGATGAAACAAAAACCAAACAGAATCACTTATGAAACTACGAATTATAGTCTCACGATTGAGAGGATACTTTCCAGAGTAAACTGCTCTTTCTTGGGCTCTTCATTTTCCGTATTTTCTTTCTTTTCCATCGCTGCCAACTCACCCTTTGCAGCCATGCCGATAACTCCGACAACTAGGTGGCAGCACGTTACGGGGTGAAAGTGACTATTCGCCCGACGGTCGGGCGAATAAGAAACCGTTCTCTATAGACCCGACCGTCGGGCGAATAAAGCAAGGCTAGCTATTCGCCCGACAGGCTTTCTGCATCTGTCTATAAGGATATAAACCAGTCTACGAGAGTTTATCCTCGCGCGAGATCTCGCGATATTGCCATCTTTAGTTGTGCGTCCTCCTCGTTACTGCTTCCATTGTTTATCATGTTATTGTTCGTTGTGTAGGCTCAATATTCGCTTTATTAGCGATAATCTATTGAATATATCGTTGAAAGAAGTGGCACGCGATCAATAGGCACCCGTTTGCTAATGAATCACCGAAACACAACCGAGGATGTTGCAAGTGGGCAATGAATACAATTCGTTTGATGAACTGAACGATGCAATCAGAGACTATTCTGAACAGCACAGCGTACTCTTTGTCAAAGATGATTGCAAGAAAGTAGCATCAGAAAATGCGAAACTTGGACCAAACACAACCAAGTACCCCGATCGTTTCGTGTACAGATTTGTGCGGTTCAGGTGCAAACATGGTGGAGACGTCAGGACAAACGGAAGAGGAACTCGCCCGAATCAGAGGTAAATGAGCCTAAAATCGGTGTTTGATACCAAATTACCAATGGCAAATCCACTTTAGGCACCTTACTTTAGGTCCTTAGGTATCACGAAGTGATGCACAGATTTCTGTGTATCATCAACTGATGCACAGACTTTCCGTATATCTAGGAATGATGTAAAAACCCTAACCCTAACCCTAACCTTAAGTCATAAGCTTAAGGCTTAGGTATCACGAAGTGTGTTACAACTTAAGGATCATTCCTAGATATACGGAGTCTGTGCATCAGTTGATGATACACAGAAACCTGTGCATCACTTCATGATACCTAAGGTGCCTAAAGTGGATTTGCACCATTGCATTGTAAGTAATTAAAATTTTATTGAAATTGTTTTTTTAATCAATCCCATTTTTTTTAAATATTGATTTGAAATCATTTATCGGCGATTGGTGAGATTACCAACCTGATAACATTGTATTTTGTAAACTAGTCAGAAAATTGATCATGAAGTCAAGAAATTATCTCCTGTTTAGTTTTGTGTTCGGTATACAAGTCAAAATCACATGGCATAATTTGTTCATATTTGAAAGTGTTAATAATAATATTGATATCTTACACACTAAAAAATTAAGTAATAGTACAGTAATTAAATTCTATGCATAACGATTTTTTTGGGGGGGGGGGTAAATTCCATAGAAATAGATAGATAACCTAGAATGCTGGTTGCCCAAGAAAATTGACCCCAGCGAGCGACGCTAGGCCCGACCGTCGGGCCAATAGGGTATTCTGGCTATTCGCCCGACCGTCGGGCCAATCTACTGCTTACTGTACTCTGATATAATAAATCTATCTATCTATCCTAATACCAAGTTGGGCTCTACGGCGTACTGTTCTACGGAAATGAAATCTGTTGGCGTGAAAATGTTATGTGACATTATCTATAGTAGATAATATAATTATTCTCTAGTCTATGCAATGTCTTTGATCAGTTACTTACTAACCTTTATTGTTACTAAGTAAGTTACTATAAGTTATAACCAGGAGCGTAGCTAACCCATTTTTCCTGTGAGGGGGTTGAAGCAAATACAGTCTTTAGGTATACTGTATAGATTAGTGTATACGGTTACGGTAGAGTCGACCGAATAATTCTGTCCCATATAACCTTTTTTTATATTTTGGGGAGGGTTATTGGGGGTCCAATAACCCTCACCAAAATATAAAAAAGGTTATATGGGACAGAATAATATTCGGTCTAACGCCAACGGTTACGGTATAGGACCCCGATTCTTGGATGTATAATTTAATAAACCATGCTTGACACAAGCCAACTATTGAACTAAGGCAACTTACCTTAGCCGAGCAATGGTTATCATGACATTATAGCTCCAAGAAACGGTCTTGCTAGGGTCAGAAGACCGTATAGACTGTATAGACTGTATGTATAGACAATCAAATTCAAATAATTCAAATTCAAATTCAAATAAAGTTTATTGCACAGATAATCGTAGATCATACAGGCAAATATGCTACAAACTACGATAAAACAAATTCCTAGGCTAATAAAAACATCATAATACATAATATATTTTTTTGTTATTTAACATAAATTAACGTTAATCAGTCGCACAGCCTAGACTAGCAAATACTTCGTGGCATGAATAATCACACTACCTTATGACAAAATAAACTCTAGCTCCTCCAATTTCACTGCGCGTTGTCTTATAAAAGGTATTTTGAAAATACCTCCAATGTTGTTGAAATTCTTCGATGTTGTTGACAGTTTCCCCAATCTCCAAGCAACCGTGCAGCGGTGGCGCGGTACAGCGGTACGGGCGCAGCAAAGATAGAAACATGTGACGTCACCAAACCAAGTCGATGTTATGTTGTTTGAAACAAGTTAGCGTTGGCGCCTGTCTCACACACCCTGCCCTCCATGTGTTCCCTCACACACCCTGCCCTCCATGTGTTCCCATACACACCCTGCCATCCATGTGTTCCCACACACACCCTGCCCTACATGTGTTCCCACCCACACCCTGCCCTCCATGTGTTCCCTCACACACCCTGCCCTACATGTGTTCCCTCACACACCCTGCCCTCCATGTGTTCCCACACCCACCCTCCCCTACATGTGTCCACCCACCCTCCCCTACATGTGTTCCCATACACACCCTGCCCTACATGTGTTCCCACCCACACCCTGCCCTGTCTTTATTCATTCACACATCCCCACCATGACCCCTAAGCTGGGTTGTTACGCTGCCATTAACAGTAACAAGGTATCAGCGATACAGATGTGACTGATACAGACTACTGCTCTCGTGTTTCTAGTGCGAAGCCGATAGAAGCGTTTGTGGATGACTACAGCTTCCTCATCCGAGGCTTGCTCGACCTGTACGAGGGATGCTACGAGGAAGAGTGGCTGCGGTGGGCAGAGAAGCTGCAGGACACACAGGACAGCGCGTTCTGGGACAGCGAGCAAGGAGCTTACTTCACCAACAAGGAGGATGAGGCGATATTGTTACGCATGAAGGATGGTAAGCATCTAAACCATGATGGGTGTCACTGGGCTTTGTTTAGGTCGGGTTCATTATTGAATGTGTTGGGGTGACCACCGCGGGGATGAGGGCAACAGCAAAATTCTTTCTTGGAATTGTGAAAAAAGCTGCAAAAGCTGTAGCCACCCAATGCACCCCCCTAAATTCGGCACTGATGTAGTGTGCGCGGGTCGACGTGATACTGCAGCCAGTGGTTCACTGTAGAAACCTATCTCTGGTGCCATAGAAGTGTTTTCCTCGTCTTGTGTCTAAAATTTGTCAACTGTCCAGGAATGCTTCGATGAATCGAAGGCAAACCTCCTCATATACTTATGAGAATACTTATATGAGAATATACTTTATATGAGAATATACTTTATATGAGAATATAGTTCAATATACTTTATATGAGAAGGCTGAATGTCTGTGGCGTGTAGACAAGGCTGAATATAGAGACCGGGACAAGAGGCAGAAAGCGATAAAAGAAATTGTGAGTGCGCTTGAATGGCCGAGTGCAGCAATGTACATGGTGTACATGTACATGTATATGGTGTCTGGCATCTGCGCTGATGTCTCTGATGACAGATAGATTCGTTCTCATACATATTCTGATTTCTGCAACATATATTTAATAGACAGAAACTGTCAAATGCCTTTTAATAAGCTTCACAAATCTCTCACACGTGATAAGCCTGGTGTGAATTTTTACCTGCAATAATGCTTATATTCATCGCCCCACGCGTACGCTCGCGGTCGACGCTGACTGCTCAATCGAGTTGGCCAACTCGCAGTCGTCAGTGTAAACGCGCTGCACAGTTCATAGAACAGTTGGTAGATCGTTGGGAAGTTGGCCCAATTTGCCAATTCGCCAATACAAAGCGATGTGAAGTTCGTACAATTCGGCAACTCAAAATCGTCAGTGTAAACCCAGCTTTACATACTTCATAATGCTACATTGTTACCAAGCATTGTTATCATGCATTGTTATACTTCATTATTAGGATCCACATGATGAACTAAAGGGCAAGAACGTGCTAATTGTGAAAGGAAGTCTTGAAGAGACAGCTTCACATTTCAACCTAGAGGTGGCGCCAGTGAAGCAGCTGCTGCAGCAATGCTGTGACGTGCTGTTTAAGGAGAGAAAGCAGCGGCCGCCCCCACACCTAGATGACAAGATGGTCACTAGTTGGAATGGTAACCTTTAGAGGGCACTCATCATTTTAGATCAATCATAGGAATCGCATTGTTCAATGACTGGATCTTGGATGTTTCAGTCAGTGATAGATCAATGATGATGTATATGGTATGTAGTTGAAGAGTAATCTTACACATGACGTGTCTTTCTCTAGGGTTGATGATATCTGGATACGCTCGTGCAGGGCAGGCCCTTAATGACACCGACTACATCCAGAGGGCAGTGCTAGCGGCGCGGTTTGTTCGCACGCACATGTACCGAGAGGAAGGTGGTGTTCTGTTACGCAGCTGTTACCACGAACACGGCACTGTGACTCAGATGTGAGTGCACTCCCACCCCCCGAAACCCTACCCTTCCCTCCCCACCCTCCTCTACATGTGTCCACCCACCCTCCCCTACATGTGTCCACCCACCCTCCCCTACATGTGTCCACCCACCCTCCCCTACATGTGTCCACCCACTCTGCTCTCCATGTGTTCCCATACACACCCTCCCCTCCATGTGTTCCCTCACACACCCTGCCCTCCATGTGTTCCCTCACACACCCTGCCCTCCATGTGTTCACACCCACACACCCTGCCCTCCATGTGTTCCCACACACACTCTGCCCTCCATGTGTTCCCTCACACACCCTGCCCTCCATGTGTTCCCTCACACACCCTGCCCTCCATGTGTTCCCACACACACCCTGCCCTTCATTCTGATTACCTGATTTCGCACCTCTTTCTTGTTGGGAACGCGCAGTCAAATGGGAGGAACTAGAGTTTATTTTGTCATAAGGTAGTGTGATTATGCATGCCACAAAGTAGTTGCTAGTCTAGTACTGGAGAAATTTCAGCGTTTGGATGCGCATTGTGAGGCTTTAATGGTTGAGCTAATAATACCTATGTTGTATTAGCTCGTGATGTCATCAACACGGCACAGCCCAGAGTCTGACCCAGCCTGGCACAGCCCCATCTCTCAATTGCATCTTCTAGGAGAATAAAGACTATGTACTATTTGCACCCTTTTCCATGGAAATTACTCTCACAAAGAAGAGAAAAGCATACTTGGATGCTTGTCTAAGCACGATGTCAACAGAAAGTCTTTGGTTCCAACCACCAGCCTTAAACTAGTGTAGGTGTCATAAACTAGTGTAGGTGTGAACAAACACCTTTTGTTACAACATTATAGGCATTGACTGTGCAAAAACACGCTTTTTATACACACCGCAGTGCAGCTACGACAGAGAGTTATACACAGTCACAGTGGACGTCAGCGTAGCGCGTTAATGAATCGCAACTTAAATCGCTATGTATGCGCGGGCTACGTTGACGTAGGCTAATTGGTTTGATGAATCGCACTGACTTAAGGATACTCCACGTTGTGCATGGGTATTGCTCTAGTGAAGATTAAACGTTTATTGGCGAATGAATCGAATCAATCACTTGATTTATTTATAGAGGAGATATATCTCTATGCTCAGGTCAAAAAATTTCATGAAATTTCCAGCACCTAATTATGTTACCACACAAATTTTGAATTTTTATGTAAAAATGGTATTTTGGATATATTTCTCAACTACCAGAAAGAGTGAGGATACAAAATTTTTGCCACATGTTAAGCACAATATGGACCAAAATAGCGCGTCAGGATTTTTCTTTAATTTTCATATTTACCGAGAAAACTGCTTAAAAATCAAGTTGTGTGTTAAAATAGAAAATTTTAGCGAATAAAGAGGCATAACTAATAAAGTACGGCACTTAATAACAATCCCTGACGCGCTTTTTTACCACAATATGTTACCATTAAAACGAGTGTAAAATTAAATTAATCCGAGTTGTAATCACAGAGAAATATCCATTTATACATCGGCTACTATGTCAGAAATCGAAACGGAGAAATGAGGGTTTTTCTATTTTTCACCATGAGTGACCGCCTGTGTGCAAAATGGGTGAACGTATGTGATATATCTACTGTTAGTACTTACTGCGACATATCCATGACTAACTGACACCAATAAATTGGAATGAATGTACACGAATACATGTAATGACAGCTGTAGCAGGGTTGACGCTGAATGATACTGGCTTATTTATTACAAGTGAATATCGTGGTTGTATCATGTCTCTGACGTCATAATGACGTCAGCCGCTGCTTACTACACATGTACGTGGGCAAGCAAAAACGCTCTGACGGTTCACATGTACCGTTATATGGAGACATGAGCATGTACACAGGTAGCACATAGTGTTAGCCATCGAATAAAGTTGAAAACGAAAATTCGATAAAATTTCATGCACAACGTGGAGAGTATCCTTAAGCGGCACGGCATGCCTACGCCCCGCTTACGCCAGCCCGCCGTGCTGAGAAGCAATGATAAATCTGGCCCCGAGACTGGGAACTTCCATTTCTATGTGGGGACCTGGATAGTTTTTGGATGAAAGGTCTGATGGACCTTCCAATGTCTCAAAATGTCCAATCACTATAACTGTGATGAAAATGTTAAGAAAATTCTTTAAACTATTAAAGTTATACTTATAACAAATGTAAGATATGAACAGGACAGTATCTTAATCGGCACAGTATGACCTATTAGTTTGAAATTTAGTTGGGATGGGACCTGCCTAGTCTCATCGGACCTTCCAAAAATTCTGCTGGAAGGTCCGGGACCCACAATAATTAACCACTATTTTCAGCCCCTGCGCGGCCATACTAATACTGCAGATAGTTAACTTATAAATGTACTAATTTGTTGGGATGCGTATTGTCAGGATGATACAATATGATATATTGTATCGTATCCGCCTTACGATATACAATATTTGTTGCGATAATTCTTGCCACGTGCATAAACTGAGAATCAAGCCTACTGTGACATTTCGATTTGAGTTTTCATTTTGCTGTCACTGTACTGCCATCATTCTACTTGACTTCAGCACAACCTAACAACTAATCCTTTATTTGTTAATCGGCAAGGGAAATATATGTAATGCTATAAAATTTGCCTGATACTAAGTGGATGTCTAGGCCTAAATGCGATCATTAGTGAAGGTCGCCATATTGAAAAATACGGATGTCACACTACGAGATCTTATCTGTAAGCTAAATATATCATTTACTTCTTGTAAAGACAGACAACCCTGAAATACTTCAATTATATGTTCAACTCCCCATGACCCGTAGAATGTTTCCACCAAGTTTGGTCAAGATCGGTTAAGCGGTGTGGAAATGCATAAGCGAACACAGACACACAGACAGATACACAGACTGGAATTCGTCAATTTATAGTAGGATACATGTACAAGTACTAGTAGTGACTCATCTTGTCTGCAAATTTTTGGAGTACTTGCACTAGTAATTGCTGGTGCATAAATGTCACATACGCTGTACATTACTCTGGGATGTGAACTGGCAGGCACATGCTGCTTTTGATTTTTAATTTTGTTTTAATTTTTCTACTTGCAGGTCTTTTAAGACGGAATGCCCATCTGAGTTGTCGGTCAGTGCTAACAGGAAGAAAGATAAAATGGTTGTGCTCAAGTTCGTGGACGAACACAACCATGAAATTAGTCGGTAAGTACATTTACACGATAAAGACAGAACTGCAGGTTTATCCACAGCTAAGGAGTTTTACTTAAATTATATATGGGACTAGAAATGTTGTAGTAAAATGTATAGTAAATGGATGAGTGCTTACCTATTCTGTCTTGCAAATAGTTGTTGCTACTACGTATGATGGGAGCTTCCATTCCATCTTTAATCTGAAGACACTTAAACGTATGCGCCATCTCGTGGCAACTTTCATAACGATCCCAACGAACATTCTTTTGAGAAGGTTCCCGATACCATCCCTGTGCATTCCACTGTTTCGGCGTGTATGTGAACACATTTGGGACTAACAGGGTTTACTAGAATCCCACCACTCCACCACAGAGTCACCGCAGTAGTGCGATGTTGCGTTGACATGCGGGCGATGTTGCGTTGACATGCGGGCGATGTTGTGTGTGTGTAGGTAGTGGTGGTCGGAGAGAGAGAGCAAGGAGATACACAGGAGTTACTGCTTGCCGCTCACTCTCACTTCCTCCCCAACAAAGCACTCATTCTACATGAAGCTAAACCTGACAGCTTGCTCTCTGCAAGACTGAAGGTAAGCGAGATGGCAAGCACCACATCATTCATCTATAAAAATATATATTTAAAGAATATAATAGTGATTCTGTCTTGCTTATGCTCTATGTCTCGCGGTTGTTGGGACGAGGGCCATTAGTGTGATTGGCTTGGATTCGTAAGACGTGAGTGAAGAGGACAGGGTGGTTAGATGGAGCATCTGCCATCAGTAACGTCATAGTTTGTTAAGCTCATCTCATCCTTGTCTTGTCCTGACTTCTAATCCTTCGTTAACAATTTACTTCCATTCTGTGTGGCTTACAGGTTTTGGGGAATCTACAGAAAATAGATGGCAAGGCTACAGCTTATGTTTGCCACAACAACACATGCTCACTGCCTGTCACCACCCCTCAAGAGCTGGAAAAACTTCTCATACAGTACTAATGATCAGTAATAATCAATCAATCATCGATCAATCATCGATCAGTCCTCCAACTATGTGAAACAATTGACTCGGCTTCACAAGAATGTTTTATACCATGATAAAGCAGTGGAATTTAGAACAGTAGGCAGTGGCTAATGGATTACTGTAATGTGTAGCGTGCATACATCAGTAAGTTTATGACTCTAATGAACTTCACTAGAATATGTTCGGTAATCTCACCATTATTATCTCTGGAGAGATTTAATGTTTACGACATAATTCCTTCTTTAGTTGACAGTTTTCTGTATAGGATTATGGCCGTGTTCTCTAATTAGTATCTGATGAGGCCGCAGTGATTCTAATTGGATTTAATTGCATAGATAAGTAGATGTGTGCTGTACGTAACAGGAGTAGAGACAGGCTGTAACTTGCTGTCGCTGTGTGGCTGTAGGTGGCGCTGCTAATCCATGTTACGTTTTAGCCACATATTATTAGGCGAGTTACATTTGTCTTTTATTATCGTATATGTCTAATCATATTTCTACGTGATCAACGATCTATAAATATGAGCCCAGTGCCTCACAGTCAGCTGCCTCTACTACTGCTACTACTGTTGCTGCTGCTACTGTTACTGCTGCTGCTGATGTTGCTGTTGCTTGCTAGGAATTTGCACAGTAAATAACGTAGTCAAGAAAGAGATGGTATTTTTGTCATGTATAGGTGAAACTCGTGGTTTAGCCGTGACTAATGGAGTGTTCATGCATTTGTGGATGACATGCGTGATGTAATCTTGATTCATATCGGCAGCTATAGATAATCTGAGGATTGTTCGATTTCTACTACCTACCTGTCGTCTGCGTTGTCGAGCAGCGTATTATAATGTTCATTAATAATCATGTTCGATGTTATCACTGGATCACTGCCATCCCACATCATACCTTCTATGAGCAAGAGAGAGACATAGACAGGGAGAGAGGGTGATTAGGGGAGAGAGGGAGAGAGTAAATAAAAGGTAGATAGTTTTGTTTATTCTTGTGTTTACGTGTTGTTTATTCTCATGTGTACAGTTTTGTTTACTCTCATGTTTACAATTTTGTTTACGGTCATGTTTACTTGTTGTTTATGCTCGTGTTTACGTGTTGTTTACGCTGGTGTTTATCTGTTGTTTAGACCAGGATGGTGCTGAGCCAAGTTCTAACTCTGTTGCCGTCAGCAACCTTGTTAAACTGGCGTCGTTCCTCGACCGGCCAGACATGACCGACAAGGCTCAAAAGATCCTGCAAGTGTTTGGCGACAGACTGAAAAAGATACCCATATCACTACCAGAGATGCTCTGTGGCCTGATGATGTTCAAGGACACGTGTAAACAAGTGAGCAGCATTTTGTGAATGAGCGTAGTCACGACTACCTGCGCTGTAATTAAAGTAAACATCAGTCACGTGAAACAGTGTTGACGATGTGCGTCGACATGAGGGCGATGTTGCGTCGACATGCGGGCGATGTTGCGTCGACATGCGGGCGATGTTGCGTCGACATGCGGGCGATGTTGCGTTGACATGCGGGCGATGTTGCGTTGACATGCGGGCGATGTTGCGTTGACATGCGGGCGATGTTGC